CTTTAATTTCAATGTAAGCATTCAGAACGCCAAAATTAGTGGTAGACATTTCCAATTAGTAGAAAAAGTTATCAAATAATAGAAATAATAATCAAACATAGAAAATAATTTAGAGATATGGAGCAGGTGCCTTTATGCAAAAATCCAAATTTTCAAAAAAAAATATTCCTATCAACGATTCTTCATAAACGTCTAACATACCATGGCCGTGAATCACCATGTAGATGAGTGCATTCCAGTATCGTTTCTTTTATTGTTTGAAAATTAAATATGTAACATAAATTTGAATAAAGACGTTCTAGATATTCGAACAAATAATGAAAAAAGTTTATTTTATATTAAAAAAAATATATTACAAGAACGTTCTATAATGTGAAATTTGCTATTGATATTCGTTTTGTTTTGCGTAATTCTAAAAAGGTATATTCCTTTGCATCTGATCTTTGGCATTAGGTTCGTCAGAGGTCCTAAATATATTTTTCTCTTCTGTTTTTGTCTGGACATCGGTTTGTTCCAGACAAAACAATCTATGAATCGTCGTAAGCTCTAAACGCATTAACGGTAGATATAAGAAAAACAAAGGAAAATAACATTCAGAAAAACGATCTAAGCCAAGCTATTTATTTATCTGTAGGACAGAAAGAAAGAAATTGTATATACCGGGTGCGTCTCAAAAGTGGCTCAGCTCTATAATTTTTTTATTTTTTCAAATAAAAAAACGAGATTTGGTATGATAATATATGACATAAATTAGGATTGATTGACGTATTCAATAATTATTTTTGGTCACTTCCTGTTTCACCGGAAATCACTACAACTTTTGAATTTTAAATGGCACCCTCGATATTTTTTTACTTTATTCGATAGAAAATTTAAAATTCAATCTAGAGTGCCATGGCTATGTTAAAAACACTAATTCTTAATCAAGGAGCCTTGAAAAAAAATATTTGATCTTCTAGTGTTTTAGTGTCTTGTCCTGACCAGTTAGAAAATGCTCAAATCGTATTTTTAATCATATCTCAATTTTTTCAAATGGAACGAGGGTGCATATTTATAGCATATTTTGAAAAAGCATTTTTTTACGAATAATTTGATTCCACACAGTTGGTATTTCGAGTCAAATCTTCGTTACGAACCGCAAGTTATAATTTCAAATAAACCATAATATGCGAAAATGTCAAAAGTTGACATATGATATGTCATTCTATTTAGAGTAAATTATATAAGGACTCTTGCCACTTAACTGCTTATATAGAAATTTAATTCTACGCTGTGTTTGTCATAATTTGGATCAACCTGCTCTCACTACCGGTTTCGGAGCCCTACTCTATCATCACGTGAGCTTGGGCGGATGCACAAAATGACAACCACAGCGTAGAGCTAGTCAATTCCGACTTGTCGGAAAGTGTCGGTTAGATATTAAGTCCCGAACTGGAGATAGCGGCCTGCGTGCAATGGTAGTACTTTCGTACCACCGGTACGCAACTATCGATAGTAAAAGGATGGTAAAAGGCTTTTTTTCAGGCAAGCTAAATTATAAAATAGACCTCTGATCACCTGATGATGGAGTAGGGCTCCAAAACCGGTAGTGAGAGCAGGTTGATCCACGTTATGATAAACACAGCGTAGAATTAAATTTCTATATAAGCAGTTAAGCGGCAAGAATCCTTATATAATTTTATTATATACCTATACTGCAACAAATTTATTTTTTATTTTATAATTTGGCTTGCCTGAAAAAAAAAGCCTTTTACCATCCTTTTACTATCGATAGTTGCGTACCGGTGGTACGAAAGTACTACAATTGCACGCAGGCCGCTATCTCCCGTTCGGGACTTAATATCTAACCGACACTTTCCGACAAGTCGGAATTAACTATCTCTACGCTGTGGTTGTCATTTTGTGGATCAGCCCAAGCTCACCTGATGATAGAGTGGGGCTCCGAAACCGGTAGTGCGAGCAGGTTCATCCACATTATGACAAACACAGCGTAGAATTAAATTTCTATATAAGCAGTTAAGTGGCAAGAATCCTTATATAATTTTATTATATACCTATACTGCAAGAAATTTGTTTTCTATTCTATTTAGAGTGCTGCCATTTAAAAATCAAAAGTTGTAGTCATTTCCGGTGAAACAGGAAGTGACCGAAGACAATTGAATACGTCAATCAATTCTAATTTATGTCATATATTAACATACCAAATCTCTTTTTTTAACTGAAAAAATAAAAAAATTATAGGGGCGAGCCACTTTTGAGACGCATCCGGTATTTCCTGACCTACTATAATATCTAGATACGGCTTATTTATATAATAGTTTACAAAATTATTGTTTTTGTTAAAATACTCTTAAGTTTAAACCATTAATTAACTTTAAAACTCTGCAGTATTTATATATTTTGCTAATAAACTTTCCTGTTTGATAACATCATCCTTCATATCTTTGTAAATTTTGTTTTCTTCAATAATTCCTCTACATTAAGATATTCATTTATTCAGAATAATAATAAGCTTCTCTCCGTCACACTTTCTACACCGATTAAAAATATAAGTCTAAATTAAAATATTCATGAACTTTATGGGAAAATATTTTTGTTATTAATTTTTTTTGTCCTGTTCAAAATTAACTTAAAATAACACTGTCCTAAAGGAAAATAACAATATCGAAAAAGCGATCCGAAATCTTTGAAATATATTCCAGGAAACTTTTTTTTCAATTTTATGGTGCTCGTGGAACAAAATCCCCTAAAGCAGAATTTTTACGGCTTAACATACTAAAAGTCCCCATCCCTCGGACCGTGCAAACCACCCCAAAATCATCTCTAAGAGCGCATTTTTTTAGTTTTTGCTAAAAGAGAGAAAGAGAGAGAAAGAGAAACCAGAACCGTTTTTTTTAAATGGGTGGCAAACTTGACCGTTCCCCCCCATCTGTCAGGAAATTGATTTATTTTTATGTACATCGATGCGGCTAATTTTGCACAATTTTGCACACCCTCCTGGCGAAAGTTATAAAAGGTCGAAAATTTGAACCCCCCCCCATCTGTAACTAAATTGAATTTTGTTTATATCAAACAAATCACATAATTTTGCACAATTTTGCACACTTGTTTTTGAATTTTGCACACAATCCTGATTAAAGTTATGAAGGTTTGAAAATTCTCAATTTCCCCCGCATCAGCTACGAAATTGAATTTTGTTTATATCAAACAAATCGGCTAATTTTGCACAATTTTGCAAAGCTATTTTCGAATTTTGCACACTCTCCTGACAAAATTTATAAGGGTTTGAATATTTAAAATTTGTCCCATGGTGTGTGAAGTGTCCCATTTAAAAAAACATGAGCATGAGTCATATTTCGAAAATGATAGATCTCACCGACGCGAAAAACTGTACGTAACTTAGATTTCACCTTTTCGATAAATAATAGCTTGCAGAGAAGATCATTTATGAAACTAAAGATTCTACACACAGATTTGTCCTAGTCCTCTTACTTGTCCTATACTTGGGCTATACCGTTGTCCTATACCAGGCAAATTTGAAAATTTTGCATTTTTCGACACCCCTCATATCTCAGTTATCCTATATCATATCGAAAAGGTAAAATCTGAGTTCCGTACACATTTTCACGTCGCTGAGATCTATCATTTTCGAAATATGACTCATACTTATGTTTCTTTTTTAAGTGGGACACTTCACACACAATGAGACAAATTTCAAATATTCAAAACATTATAACTTTTGTCAGAAAAGTGTGCAAAATTCGAAAATAGCTGTTCAAAATTAGCCGATTTGTTTGATATAAACAAAATTTAATTTCGTAGCTGATGGGGGGGGGATATTGCAAATTTCCAAACCCTCATAACTTTAATGAAGATGGTGTGCAAAACAGGTGTGCAAAATTCAAAAACAGGTGTGCAAAATTGTGCATAATTATCTGACTGGTTTGATATAAACAAAATTCAATTTAGTCACAAATTGGAGGGGGGGGATTTCAAATTTTCAACCCTTTATAACTTTCGTCAGGAGGGTGAGCAAAATTTAAAAATAGGTGTGCAAAATTAGCCGAATCGATGTACATAGAAATAAATCAATTTCGAAATAGATGGACGGGAACGGTCAAGTTTGCCCCCCCCCTTTGGTTAAAAAAAGGGCTCTGGTTTCTCTTAGGTAGGTGTGGAAAATATCATTTATGGTGTGCAAAATGTGTGCAAAATAATGGTATATCTATTTTTAAATCTCCCCTAGTACGGGGAGCAAACTTGACCGACCCGTTTAAATTTCACAATGCAAAGCTAACTTAGCGTTTATTTTGGCGTTATTGATTTTTCTGCTCGTTATTAGAGATAGCTGGTACTCCTCTCCAGTAAGTATAAGTTGATATTTTTATATTCTCTACTATCATTGGAATTCCAACAGATATCTTAGTCCATAAAATGAGTGATTTCATAAATCCTATTTTAGTTCGCAGCAGTTTCATGTTTATTATTTGAACTTAATTTAATGTTCATTGTTCATTATTTATGTATAAAACTGCTACAAACTAGGCGCTATGACATCCTCCATTTTACTTTGCGAAAGAAAGTTACCAACATATTTTTGGGGAAACTACAGAACATAGACCGTAAGGTAATTTGTCTTTCAATCCCAATGATAAAAATAGCAACATACCTAATGAAGACGAGTTTCTGAACTCTTTCTCTATATGGCGCGAATCAATCAGTAGGTAATAGCTATAGAGTTAAAAAATAAAAGTTTAGACTCTGTTTTATTCACAATTCAATTTAACCTTCAATAAAGAATTTTGAAATCGCATCGCGATTTGTATACTGAAAGCCTAAGATTGATTTTGAACCTTTGCCAACAAATTATTCAGTTCATGCTATATTATCGGTCTATAAAATAGATATATGTACAATAAAGTCAAATCAACCATTAATACCATTTTCCACTAAATTTTATTGACGGATTTTTTTAATAAACAGAACTCTTCTTCTTTCAGACATAATGCGACGGATTGTTCTTTAGAGAAAGAATTAGACGAGGTAAGAAAAAAAACGTCAAGTAGAAATTTCCAAAATATTTTTAAAGTTTTTTTTTATCAATTTATTAAAATAAGCCCCAAGCTAATAATATAGTAAAAGCACAGCCTATTCATACCCAGCCCGAGAACTTACATGAAATTTGCGTACCAATCTAAATATTCGTTTATTTTAAGTCGAGAACACACCTGGTGAATGTTACCATTCGATCGCAATTATTTGCATTTATAGCTATTAGTGATGGGAATACCGAGTCCACATTAGTCGCGTTACAATAGCGACCGTTCCAGAGAAATACCGCGATTTTGTAACCGAGGCCCCACCAAAGTGTGGCAGTGTCGCTGTTTCCGCCTATGCGGTATTTCTGGTCACTGTACCTACCTACTCCTCTCCCTGCCGTTACCTCTGTGTCCGTGCAAATTCATAAACCCCACAAATTTGTAAATAATAAACAACATGCAGATGGCTAGAAGAATTTAGTTATATTAGCTTTTAATTTTAAAAATTAAACTATTAGATAAAAAATATAAAATAATATAATTTATTGGTATTCAAAATATTTTATTCGCCATCTTTTCTTCATACTGAAGAATAGCTTTTTATAAGTTTTATATTTTTGCCAATAATATTTAAATTTATATACTTCTGATACACATTATAGCCGTTAGAATTTAAATTAAAATATATACATTTGTGAGATAATTATATTTTTCTATTTTTTTCTTAAAATCTATTTACTTGAGAAATAGTTAAGCTTAAACTATAAAAATTAACATAATTTGAGTCATTATTCGAGATACCTACGCCATATGCTAAATTTCTTTATCTACGTGTATGTTTTTTTTTATCTACGGATATTCCTTATTGGTCGAAAAGTTAGACTTAAATTGTTCCCTTTTTTTCGGTCATATTTTTTCTTATTTTTGTAAAAGTGTTTATTTGTAACTATCTAATGTACCTAACACGTATTTATTATCAATCGAAAATGTCTAGTACCTACCGAAAATCGTGATGTCGATAGTATCGTAACGACTGTAACGGGAGCATCAACGTTAATAGCGACCGATCAAAGCGAAGCTACGTGTTCGCGACCGACGAAAACTTGACCCTACGAGCGCTCCTACAGTCGCGCGACCACTGGCACTGGAGCGAAGTACGTCGCGGTATAGGTCGTATCAGTTGCTCATGCTCAGTCAGCTCTTCGCGACAGACGAAGCGGTCGAGATCGGGCGACGTTACGGAGGTCCAACGCTACGTACCAGTTCCAGCGACCGACAAAATAGCTACTCTAGGGTTGCGTTCCATAAGCGTTGTAAAATAAAAGACGTTTTTCTAGGGAAGTACGTCCTAGTCGTTCATATAATCAGATAATGTGTACCGGGGCATTAAAATCTTATCCACCTTTTAAGTAGGGTAATTTTTACTCGATATCCGCATTACAATTTGTTTGTTGTATCAATTACTTTTCTGTGGTTATGTTATTTCATTTTGATTAAATATTTACATAATAGTGGAAAAAGGAACAACAACCCTAGGTGGTGACGTCACGTCTACGAGTTATCCTGCTTCAAATCCCAACCCAGCAACATCTACCTATTTCGAGCTATAGTTACTTTTATTTTGGTTGTTGACTTCCCAGTTGGCAACACATGGGAAGCAGGATCGCCAAAACTGTTTCCTACTTGCGTTGTTACCCCTGTTGAATCCTGCTGCGAATTTCGTCCCAGCAACACTTGCTGTTTTTAAGATATAGCAAGTTTAAGTCTGATTGGTGACGTCAGACATAGCAACACAATAAAAGCAGGATGGCTGAAACAAGTTTCTGCTTTGGCTGCTATAATCCTGCGTTAACCTGCTTCAAACCCCATGTCAGCCACTCTTGTCGTTTTTAAAATAGAACTAATCGATTCCTGGTAATCAGTCGCACATTAAGATTATGAATGATTTTTTTAACTTGATAAGTTTCAGCTTTGGCTGCTATTTTTTTGCTTCATTTGCCTAAAATATGTATAAGCTTCCAAGCCATAAATAATTATTCCGAACAGTTGAACAAAATAAGGCAGGTTCATTGTTCTCAGGAGTAACTTTAGAGTTTTTAGTATGACATCCGAAAGCGCCTTAAAATAAAAGTAACTATAGCTCAAAATTGGTAGGTGTGGCTGGGTTGGGATTTGAAGCAGGATAAAGCAGGATTGTAGCAGCCCAAGCAGGATCGTATTTTATAATTCCCGCTTTCAATGAGTTGCTAACTTCCCCGATCTCATCAGCATTGCAACATTTCCAATAATTCGCTGCTCGCATTTTTCTTTCATCTATTCACTTTTACCGACAGAATATGGAAAGCATTCACGCTACATTTGCTACGAATGCACCTACGAATACACCTGAGAAAGATTCCCCCTGAATGAAAACGAATGCGAACGTATATGGTAAGATTCACGGTATCTATATTATTATATTCACGGGTTAGCTTTATGTTATATACCACGACGGGATTATGAGCACCATTGAATAAACTTTTAATAAAACAATTGAAATTAACGTTTCGACTGTTGCTATTTGAACGAGAATAGACGCAGCAGATGAAGCGCAAATACTCAAAAACAAGATGACAAGATGGTAGCGAGGCTGGTAATGAATAAGCTGTTGAAAATATATTTTATAAATAATATATTTTTATGGTCAATTAAAATGTTGATACAAATCTTTCAACTTTTTTTGAAAAGTTGTAATGTTTTATACATAATAAATTACATATTTACATTATTAATACCTTTTTAATTCAATACAAAACTTAGTTAAAAATACTATTTTAAGACATAAGAAAGCCTTTGATTTATGATTGCTTGTTTTATTGAAACATGATGAATAAAATTTAAATCCCAAATAAAAAATATAAATACAAACTTTGAATAACTTTTACTAAAACGGAATGACTATTTTTAGGCAGCTGAAGGAACTGGATTAGCTTTTATAGTATTTACAGAAGCCATTGTAAAACTGCCTGGTGCCCCTTTTTGGGCTATACTATTCTTCGTGATGCTTTTGTCGTTGGGTATTGGATCTCAAATTGGTATACTGGAAGGGATGCTTTGCACAGTATTCGACATCGAAATTTTAAAAAGAGTCAGTAAACAATATATTACAGGTAATTATATCACTCTTTTACTCTTATGCATTAAAATTATAAGGTATATTATGACACAACGCGTAAGCTTTTGCAGATTAGTTTTGTAAAATGATTGCAAACTTTTTATAAGAAAAACTTAAAATATTAATAAATAAAATGATTATATATTATAGTACAATGTATGACAATCTCAACTGTAGTTTCATAAAAATATAACTGTAGACACATTTAGACACAAGGAATAGTTCAGGTGAAAAACATAAGCGCCATTTTACTAATTTTACTATTTTAAGAGCACTGGATGGCTGGTGGTTATCAGGTTCATTCCGTGTATTTTATATTTTTACTGGGCATATATCATAGGATATAACAACTTATTGCCCTGCAGAGTTTATACGTTTTGCAGGGACCAGTTAAACTTACTATAATATTGTAAAATCCTAAAATTAAGAAATTGGGGCTTATCAAGTTTTTCCCCTGGACTTCAACATAAATAAATTTACATCAATGATTATGCTAACAAACATAAATTAACGAGACAAGTTTTCTGTTTTTAGACATTGGTCTAAAATATAATATATATTATATATTATAATTATATAACATAATAGTATATATTATATAATAGTTATATATTATATAATAGTTATATATTATATAACTTATAATTTTTTAAATAAACGATATGTGTAGACACATTTAGTGGCTATTAATCTTTTATTATTATTATATATTGATATAATAATAATAAAAGATTATAGCCACTAAATGTCTCTACATATATCGTTTATTTAAAAAATTATTCAGTCAGCGATAAATGATTAAATTAACACCTCATTCTCTTTCTAACTTAAACGCCATTTTTATTTTCACAAAAATGCTTATGATTTAATTAGGTATATTTACGATGTATATCATTTTATTTATATTTATATCTACAAAAAAGGTGGTTATTAGTTGTAAGTAATATTTATTTAAATAGTCATAATTTCGTAGCTTTCTATTCATATACATACCTTATGTATATAATTATAGTATCTACTTATTTAGTGCATTCAAATATTCAACAGCATTAGACATGCAATTCTTATTAATCCAGAGCCAACCTTCATACAATCACGCTTTACTTCCATGAAAAATTTAGCTTTAATTTTACTGCTGCAAATATTTTCAGTATTTGCATGCTTGTAATTTATACAGGGTTAGTTAGCGATTGGGTTAGATTTCCATACGCTTGGCTATAAATCACCTAGATGTATATAAAAATTATGCCAAGATTGAGTTGTTGGATTATACTTTAATATATACTTAACTAACTTAACGAGCATAATATATTATTATAATACTGCAATAAACTAAAAAAAAATAGTATGTATTTATTTACAGCTACCTATAATGATGCTGCCGTTACTGAAATTATTAAATTTATATCTTGGAAGTGTCGCGTTATCTACCTTTAGGTTAGGTTAGGCTAGTTTGCTGGGGTTTGGGATCATGTTTGATCCCTCACTCGGAGGCCTTGGGCCCATTGCGATACCCCTGTATTATTGTAAAAACGGCCAGTAAATACTTAAAGCGGCCAAGCTGTCAGAGTATATCACTATATCCCCTATTGGTCTATCAGCAATTTTCGCTCGTATACAACTAGCCGCTTCCTTTATGGCGTAAACCTCTGCTTAAAAAAAGTTGCCCCCTAAAGTTGCGGAAGCATTTGTGTAGACTGCTATCTCTTGAGTGTTTATTACTCGGTTGCTTTTCCATTCTTCTCTTGTCGGGATGCGAATCCTGATCTTTTCTCCAAAATCATGTTTGGTGAGCATATAGTCCGTTTTCTGGTCTAGCAGCTGTGGACTCATGTTCACCATGATTTTCCCTATCACTGGCAATATCCTCGAGTGACCGTAGTTGGTCTGGTTTCACAGATTGGATTCGCTTAATCTTAGGGCACCCTTAGCGGCCAGATCCTTCACGAGCCAGTCGATTGGTTGCTAGTCCAGAATTGCTTCTAGCGCAGCTTGCGCTGTGTTGTTCCTTGCTCCAGTTGTACCTGAGCTGTTAATCGCTGTACTTTTGTGAGGCTTTTTATATTAGTCTCTTTAAGTACCGCTTCCCACCATACTACTTCTAAGTGATGATTGGTTTAACTATAGAAGTGTACAGGGTGTCCCATTTTATTTGAAATCATACGGTATCTCCGTTATTCATGAAGATAGAAGGGTGCGGTTTGCATAAACCTGTGCCACTTTTTTGTCAAACGGAAGATGCCGTAAACAAAATTTTCATAGCCGTCTTAGTTTCTGAGCTGCAGGGTCTTTTTGAAAATTTTGCAATTTGACACACCCCCTGTATCTCTGTTATTGTTAAAGATATCGAGAAGGTGAAAACTGTTTATTGTAGAACTTTTTACATAGAATACAGTGGCGTAGTCTGTTATTCTACGAAAACAATATTTTTGAAGATATGAACTATAGTTATGTTTTTTTTATCGTATCAGAATTTTTAAATATCCCTTTAACTAATTTACGTGAAATATACTTTCAGTAAGATGAGACTCCCTCTCCCAACTTAACTTACATCGAAAATAATATCGGAATTTTGTTAAATTATTATTTCTCAAATCAATGAATTAGAACCAATTGACCCATATGATGGCCTTCCTGATTTCCGGATTTGTCTATTCTCGGTTTCTGATTTTGGGGATTTTTGAAATATGAAATATATCGTGGCAACTAACACAATGTCGAACACCTGGAAAATGCTTTAATAACGCAAGCTAATTATGCAAGCTTTTAAATATTTGAAAACCCATCCCGTTATAATAATTTCCGTTATAAAAAAAAAAGAAAAATATATTTAGAGATTCAAAAGTAAAATATATCAATTCCAAATAAAATTTTAATACGTGTATAACTATTTTAGTAAATACCATTTTGATTTTTTGTTATTTATCAAGGCCTACTAATAAGAAAATGATATATTTTAAATATTGCTGTAAATAATGAAAATAAATACAGAGTTATATATATTTTTGAGAAGCTCATTGCAAGGCGGATCATATTTTTTATAAGTATACAGGGTGTTCCATTTAAAAAAACATAACTTTAGTTCATATTTTCAAAAATATTTTTTTCGTAGAGAAACAGACTACGCCACTGTATTCTACGTAAAAAGTTCTACAAGAATCATTTTTCACCTTTTCGATATCATCCATAATAACGGAGATACGGGGGCTGTCCCAAATTGCAAAATTTTCGAAAAGACCCTGTAGCTCAGAAAAGAAGAGGGCTATGAAAATTTTGTTGGCAGCATTTTCCGTTTGACAAAAAAGTGGCACAGGTTTGTGCAAACCGCATCGTTCTATCTTTACTAATAATGGAGATACCGTATGATTTCAACCAAAATGGGACACTCTCTACATCCAGTGTATAATGTACGGTTGCAGACCCCATCTCTTTCCAAATAGTTTTTTACATGCATAGAATGCATTTATTCCCCTTATCGTCATCTCCTCCGTGTTCCTTTTCCAGGAAAGCTTCGAGTCCATCTACCTTTACTTCTCTCATATTTGAAATCAATTAAACTTTTAGTTACGTAATCGAGAGCGCGATTTTTAAATTCATTGTTGCCAGCCATGGAAATATTCGGCGCCGTGCTGACTAACTGGAATTTAAATTTCGCGCTGAGGATTCAGGTGGTAGCTCTGCTGTAAAAAATGTCAAGTCACCGCATTTATTTATTTATTTCCTGACATTATTCATTCGTTTTGAAATAGTGTTGTGATACTAAGGTTAAAAATGTTTACTAGCAGATTTTGCAGTCGAACATTGTTCTTTTTAGAACCTCTTTTAGTGCGAAGTGGTACAAGATACGTTCGATGGCTTACGCGTACGATGGCTTAATAGACGTAAAAACTCAAAAACTTTATTAGAATATTTTGAACGGAAAAACGGTAGTAATGGCCCTTTATGTCCCTTAAGTGCAGTTAAGAAGGTGAGTTTTATTAATGTAAATAATAACTGTTTATATTTTTATAATTAATTTATTTTTGTTTCCTAAAATATTTTGATTAATAGAAAATATATAAAAGTTGACAACGCTGTGCCGGTCAAGCTAGTTTTTTTGGTTTCGTTTGTTATTTTTCATTACTACATAACATCCCTCTTTGGAACATTTTCTTTAATGGGAATAACTGGGAATAAAAGCTATCCTTTATAAAGCCACCAGTTGTTGACGTATGGATCGCACTTGTCGCTTATTGTCGCTTGTCGCCATATTATATAAGAAAGTTATTTATAAAATATAAATAACTTCCTGTATTAATGTTTACGTAAAATGTGTATGGTGATGCATTCAAATGAACGTATTGTAGTAGTCGATTCAATATGAACAAATTGAACCATGTGATTCGATTTACTAAAAATAATTCTAATTCCCATCACTCCTGTATATGGTAACTTTTTTTCGACACACCTTTTATATTTTTTCAGCTACGGTCTGTGTCATCTGCTTCTTCATCGGCTTAATCTTCACCACCGGCGCCGGCGAGTACTGGCTCAGCATGTTCGACTCTTTTGCCGGTACCATCGGTCTGGTAGTGGTAGCCCTAATGGAGATGATAGCTGTCATCTACGTCTACGGTCACGAAAAATTCACCAAAGACATCTACGAAATGACGGGTTACAAGCCGGGACTCTACTGGCAGGTCACGTGGCGCTTCCTGGCGCCCTCTATCATGATTGTGATACTGGTGTCTTCGATCGTGTCTATGGTGATCCAGCATCCGGAATATTCGGCGTGGAGTGCAGAGAAAGTAAGTAAGGATACTAAGGGAATATACAATGCGTTTTAACTGTAAACAATCATTATATAAGGCAATGCTTCTGCAATTTTTTTCCTATGATTTTTCTTAAAAAATCGTAGGTGAAATATGTTACTTGACTACCACAGAAAATTATTATAATAAAAATAGTGTTTTAAGTTCCAATCTAGAGTCCCATGGCTGTGTTAAAAACGCTCGTTTTTAATCAAGGAGCCTTGAAAAAATAGATTTCATCGTCTAATGTTTTCGGGTCTCGTCCTGGCCGCTTAAAATATGCCCAATAAAATTGTATTTTTAGTCATATCTCATTTTTTTCAAATGGAGCGAGTGTGGCTTATTATTAATTGTAGTTTGAAAATGTCAAAAGTTTACATGTAATATGTCATTCTCTATTAGTTTTATTACTGAATCATTGTCTACCACATTTAAAGTAATGTCATTTTATTCAGAGTGTTATTTTCTATCGAATAAAGTGGCTCACCCTTATAACATTTTTATTTTTCAAATAAGAAGACGATATTTGGTACGTTAGTAGTACATTACGATACAGTTAGTTCGACATAAATCAGGATTGATTGACATATTCAATTATTGTTTTCGGTCACTTTCTGTTTCACCCGAAATTACTACAACTTTTCATTTTTAAGCTTATGCTAATGAGCCACCCTCGTTCCATTTGAAAACATTGAGATATGACTAAAGTACTGAATGCCATGCCATTCTATTCGGGGTGTCTTTTTCTATCGAATAAAGTAAAAAAAAAGACGGAGGGTGCTATTTAAAAATCAAAAGTTGTAGTAATGTCCGGTGAAACAGGAAGTAACCGAAAACAATTGAATACCGTCAATCAATCATAATTATTTATGTCTTATACTAACACCAAATCTCGTTTTTTTAACTGAAAAAAATAAAAAGTTATAGAGATGAGCCACTTTTGAGAAACCCGAGGTATCTCACATACATATCCGAGGATTTAAGGGAAATATTGGTTTCCCCGATGTGAATTTGAGATCATTATGACAAAAATATTATTAAATCAGAATTACTAGTTTTTAAAAGCGTTGCTTATTTTTAAACACCGGTATTTATGCTAAAACTAATTGTACTATCAAAAGTTCTACTATAAGACTGTAAAGAAAGAACAACCTGCTTTTCAGAGGTTGTAGGAAAATTCACATAACAAAAAGTTGGGGTGCCTTCTAAGAGGTGGGGCACATTCTAAAAAGTGAGGAGGAGTAAGTCAAATAATACTTAATTCTAGTTCATTTTCCAATCCACCGATATGTATTGAGCTCTTCTTGATAGCCCTTTTTTGGCTAAAGCTTCATCCAGAACCTTGAAATTAGTGGAAAAAATAGTGGTTCCAGGTTAGCGTAGAGATTTGTTCCTCTAATTTCAATATAAGTATTCCGAACGTCACAATTAGTGGTAGAAATTTACAAATAGTAGAAAAGGTTAACAAGCTTTTAACTTTGTCCACTTGTGATTTGATAAAAATAGAAAGTCTTCTGTTTCGTAATCTAATTACCTTACCGCAAGCTGTTGCGAAAATATTTTATTATTTTTAATTGTATTTTTTAGACATATCATCATTTTTCATCATTTTTTAGATCCTCAAAATTAGTGGAATACCTAAATTAGTGGTTTTAATTATACATTATAGTTAAAAGTTTACGATCATTCACACAGTCTAAAAAATACGATACCGAGCAATAGCTTGCGGTTGTCAGTTATATCCATAGTTAGTTATATCTACATTACTAGCAAATTTTGAAGTATAATTAGTGGCAAAAGTTAAGAAGCTTCATTCAGATCCTCGAAATTAGTAGTATAAATCAGTGTTTTAATTACACTTTATAATTTTTAGTTTACGATCATTCACAATGTCTAAAAAATACGATTAAAATGAATAGCATAGCCTAACAACAGCTTGCGTTAGTCAGTTATATCCATAAAGAAAGCCTAATAATTACCTTATAAAACAATAAACTTTTCATTTCTAACCATAATTTCTTTTGACATTACTCGCAAATTTTGAAGTATAATTAGTGGCAAAAGTTGAAAGTTTGTTAATTCTTTTTACTAATTGAAAATTAGTACTACCCATTTAGACGTTCTGAATGCTTACATTGAAATTAGAGAAACAAACTCCTACGGTAATTTGAAACTACTAATTTCGATGTTCTGAATGAAGCTTTAAGATATTCCCAATTGCTATTTTTTAAACTGTCGCCCTGTATAATATTTTCAGTGTATAAATACTACTGGGGAGAAAGTCAAAATGTCTTCGCATCCTTGAAGCAAAGCTTATCAATCAAATGTAATCATTAATAATTAATAATTATGGTGCCCGGTGGCGTAGAGGTACAGCTCTCCTCTACCAATTCAAAGGTTGTGGGTTCGAATACCACAGCCAGCATTTCATCAGCCGACTATTTTTAATAAAATAAAAATAATTTAGGTACCTAGGTCGACTCAGCCTTAAATGAGTACTTGGGATTCACAATCCTGAGGTAATAATAGGCGGTTGAAGCGTAATGCCACATTACCTTCCTTGTATACCGAACGGCCTAGTATGTAGCTTGTACCTTTCTACTCCCAAGGCGTTAAACGCTACATACGGGAGCTATTATTATTATTATATTATATATAAATAATAATTTAATTAATACCGTTTATAAAAACAATGTTTCTTCAAGCAATGTCCTCTGATTTATTAAATCTCCAATCGAAAACCATATCTTATAAGTAACACCAGCTTAATTTTCGAGATACAGCCAACGAGATTATAATCGATTAAAGTGTCAAAGGATGCAGTGATAAATTTCCTAACTAAGTTCTCCTAACATACAAAACAAAGTGATCTTTTTAGAGATTATATTACGAGGCATATTATTATCTTCAAATATGAGCATTTTCAATGATCGTCCTAGGGTTCAGTTATATCGCTTGGCTTTCAATAAAAGTTGTATAAGAAAAGTAATTTTCATTGATATATTATTATGAGACTTAAAAGATTAAACTTCCTAAAGGTCAAAAGTAAACGGTGGCAGCTGTATTCGCCAAAGTTTGTGCAGGCAAAATTGAGCCAAAGCAAAAGTTAATCTTTTCGTCGAAGAGATTGAACTAGATACTGTAATAATAATTTTTTAATTAATACTCTTACGTAATATAAATACATTTACGAAAATTATCCAATATATAATTTAGTATTTTTTTATTGGATAAGTTCCCTTGAATAATAGAATACTTTGATAAATACATAAAAAGACAAAGTTTAAAAAAATTAGATAAAACATATTACGAGGATTGACTTTTATATTTTGTATATAAAGTCAGACAAAATAGTAGATGATTTTAAACACTATTGTTTTATGAAAGATGGTCCAACAATTGCAATGGTGCAACATTTTCTTCCTTTCAAAACCCGGTTGTTTTTGAAGCTGTGTGTGAAACTTACATTATCTTTGTGGAGGTTCATTCGTCGTTGAGAGTTAGTTTTTCAAAACTCAGCAATTACTTCTGGCAAACAAATAGATATGTACCTACCAATTAGCAGTAACAGTTCTTTAATCTTCCCGAGGAATAATTGTTGCTACCTCATCCGCTTTTCTCAAAAATGTGCCAGCATGTTTTTGGAAACACTTCGAGAACGGATAACTTGACTGTTTCGGTTAATCTCGCTTCATTCTACACCCAAACAGCAGATTGGCATTTTCGGGTTCATAAGAGTAAATTCAGGAAGATTTTTGACATCAATTGACTCTGCTTTCTGTTCTTCCGTCGACAGATGCGGTATCCAACGAGAAAAAAATAATAACGAGAAACTAATAATTATTATGCATATAACATTTATTGAATTGCGGTCTTTGAAATGCCCAATAAAGGTTAATTCTCACTATACCTTCCATATCAGCTCCCTTCCGTGAATGTGAAAAATGAATAGGCCAATGCACACTATCCGTTTCGTTTCCCTTCCGTTCCATATCCTTTCCTTCCATACATTTTTTGGCGAACGGATGAAGCGTATCGGAAACAGCGTTGTCAAGTTCTTACATTTCTGCTAAATCTGTTAAAATTTTGCTGATATGTATTTATTCTTTCGCCTCTTAATTAAATGTATTACCTTTTTCAAAAGATACACATTTTTAAAATGAAACTTTCGTAATGATATAAATTGTATAATAAAAAGTATGAAACTCATCCCGTTTCCATTCCATATTCGTTCCGTATTTTTATAGTATTGACGCTATACGTAAGCTTCCGTTCCGTATAAGTTCCATAGTTTTTATTGTACAATTTATATCATTACGAAAGTTTTATTTTAAAAATTTGTATCTTTTGATAAAGGTAATAGATTTAATTAAAAGGTGAAAGAATAAATAAATATCAGCAAAATGCTAAAAGAGCTGGTATACAAATGTAAGAACTTGACAACGCTGTTTCCGATACGCTTCAGTCCGTCCGCCAAAAAACTGTATGGAAGAAAAGGATATGAAACTGAAGGGAAACGGTAAGGATAGTGTGCATTGTCCTATTCATTTATATAATATAATATTTTATGTAAACGGAAGGAAAACGGAAAGGAGCTAACAGTTTAATGATATGTGAAATGTCGATGTTCTTGGATCAGCTTACGTACAGCATCAACATTTTCATGGGTGATTGCCGTTGTTGGTAAACCTGTTCTTGGCTCGTCACTAAAACTAATCCGTCCGCGTTTAGATTCCCCATACCAACGAGAAATGGTCGACGGATGTGGTGCTTCATTGCCGAAAACAGAAACCAACTCAGCATGGCGTTCTTATTGCGACAACTGTCTTCAAAAATTGTAAAAAAATATTGCGCGAATATTTTTTCAGCTTAATTCCATTTTCCGACTCGTCAACTTAAAACATTCAGTTTAAGTATAGGTTGATAAAACCGGTCTAAAACTTTGACGTTAAGTTAACTAAAGATGACAGTTAATTTTGACTTTTGATATATGTTGATAGGCGCCTACTATGTTTCTATATGCAAAATATAAAAGACAACTCTCGTACATTAGCTACAATTCAATGACATTACTACATAGAGTGTAATTCAATTTTTTATACATCTAAAAAAATGCTAAACTTTATTTTGTGTCGAGGTTAAAATTTGAGCTAAAAACTATGGAGGTATCCACTAAAATCAAAAAGAAATTTAAAGTTAACGGGTTAGACGTTACATTTGTTAAAAATTAAAGTTGCATCGGATTGAGAAAAATTTGGATTCAAAGATGAATATAAACTGTAAAATCCAGGAAGGATGATATATTTTCCAAATTGTTAGATTTACACTATTTATTTTCTTACAGGGTGTTAGTGTGAAAACACCGTATCCAGGTTGGGTGCTGGTAATAGCAGGTTGTATGGTTCTGGCAGGCATTCTACCCATTCCAATTGTGTTCCTTCTAAGACGATATCAGATACTCAAAATGGATATTAATATACATGAAGGATCTATACGAAGAATCGATACTACAGTTTCCACAAAGGAGATGATCACTGATGTGGATGTAAGTATTTTTTTCTAATATTGTTATTGTTATAAAAATGCAAATAACGCTTAGCAGTGTTGGCTACTTAATATGCACTTTAAAACATTAATTATTATTATAAAAAAAATGTTTCCAATAATTTAAGTAGAGCCCATTTATTAAAGTACATATATCAAAGTGCAAAATAATATAAGAAATTATAAGCAAAAAAATAGACCAAGTTTCTTATAGTACACCAACGGCACGGGCTTAAAATTTTCATGTATTTTAAAGTGTTATATATTGTATTCTAGTCGACCGATTATGATGAACTTTTTTTTAGTTAAATTATTTGACATTTTAGTATTTCTTTCTAAATCAAAAATGTTATGTTATAAAAAAGTTTCTTCAAAAATGTTGTTATTTTGGTGAAAGTTTGGAACACCCTGTGGAATATATTAGGAATTTGGAAATCATTTTATCATTTAGGTGCATTTTTTCTTGATAGTTTATTTTTTGGTCCATTTCAATAGCTTTATTTTTTTGGAGATACATTTGTATTCGCTTTTGACCTATATAGACACTAACATTTTTTCGGTATTTTTATATTAAAACCATACTTTTGGTTTTGGTTCCAGTTAACAGACCTATGAAATAGTGTTTATGATTTATCGAATTTCACTGTTATTGAAAAATCATATTATTGTTTTCTATTGACTGTTGGGCAGTTACAGAGATTTTTTTAAGTCCAGAAGTTGTATCCGCTATAGTTGCTTTAACTGAAGATGATAGAGGTCAAAATTATGTAGCTAAGAGATTTAGGTGTCACGAAGTACAGCAGTTCCTTCTTTAAGACAAGTTCATATGTTAGACGTCCACGAAAAAAACTTTGAATCGAGACGATCGACTTATTGTAAGTTTATCGCTAAGAAAGTCGAGCCGTTTGCCAGCTTTTCAAATTTATAATGAATTGCACCTAAGGAACGTATATGTAACTGAATAGACTGTAAGAAGATTAAACGAAGCAAATCTTATGTCAAGAAGGCCTGCTTCGGGATCATAACTTACTAAGTCTGTTGACTATGACCAAAAGCAAAGGCATGGTTTTAATATAAAAAAATAAGAAAAATGTTAGTATCTTCTTCAAAAGCAATTATCTCCAACAGAAATAGAACTATTGATATGAACCAAAACAGGACAAAAACAAACTAGAACGGGAAAGGATGTACCTAGATGATAAAACTTTCACCAAAAAAGTTTTCCCTCGTATATATATGGAAACTTTAGTTTTTAATTTAGAAAGAGATACTAAAAAGTCAAATAACTTAACTACATACTGCTTAAAGAATCATCAAAATCGTACCACTAGAAAAAAATATATTAACCTTTAAAATACATCAAAATTTTAACGTACCATTCTTTCGTGCCTGTGACAGTAATTGAATTTTATATTCCCCCCCTGGGGTATATTAAACTAATAACACAATATCAGATATTTATATTTGCTGTATATTTCTTGTATAATCATATAAATAAACTTTTGCGGTTTATCTCAATTGTACAACTACACAGCTACCTTACTAATTTTGTATTCTAACTTGCCCAAAACTAGGAGCAATTAACAAGTCCTGAGGGACCCTGCCTTACCGCTTCAAACACGCTCAAAAATAAATTCACTATTGGTGACTTTGAGGTCTAATGTAAGTAACTGTTTGTCGCTTGTTAAGTCAAAACTAAGAAATGCATTTCATAGTTTCCTAAGTTATGTTCGCTTTTGTATGTGGTACACGAAAAATGACGATTGCGTTGGAATACTTTCATTTGTAAACGCCATAGATAACGAATATTTAAATGTTGGACTTGTTCTCCATTTTACTGACACTGGGTAGTTCAATCCCCGGATCAAAGAAAGACAGACAATTTTTTAAAATATTCTGTATTATTTAGAGCATTGACAAGCGACGCGGAAAATCATAACAAGAGAATTATTGCATGAATTTATTACTGTCATACCTCATAATTTGTTTGTTCGTTAGAATATCCTATAAGGCGTCGCCATCTTTCGTGAATCACCCTGATTGTAGGATTTTACAGACTTTTATTTAACTTGTTATGCATCTATGTAAGTTGTAAGTTTCACAATTTGCAAACCATTTTTCAACAACTACTACTTCTATACAATCTCTTCTAAGTATAATTTGTTCAGCGATCGTTCAACGTTATATGTATCATAAATACACTCAGATGCAAAAAAACGCAATAGAAATTTTTTCGTTACAGTTAAAGTGTTATATATATTTTTTTTTATTTTTAGCCCTATTTTCATGATTTTTTTTAGCAAAATGTACATATATACGGAACTTTAATTCGTAAAATAAGTTTTTTATAAACAGTCAGACTGTTAATCCAAAGACTGTTTTTACCTTAATTTTAACACACCCTGTACAATAAATCGTGAGCAAATTCCTCTAAAACATTATTTTTCGGTCAGGACCATGACTCCTGAGCTTTTTGTTTTTTGATTCATGTCAACACATGCCTTGGTTAATTTTTAAGAGATTAAACATCAAAAATTTAGCGACTATTATCGTAATTGCATATTGACAGTAGTTAAATTTTGTGTACCTACGATTCGACGAACTGTTAATACACTCAAATTCTTGCCTAGAACCTCCTCATGCCAACTTCTTGTTTACACGGTTATTAAATAACGGGCCCGCAAAACGTTGATTCTGATATATCGATCGTCTAGAATTTTAGTTAGTAATTAAGTAGTTTAGTTTTTATTTCTTTTTATTAAATCGTCTAGTTTTTAGTTAGTAAGTAAATTAGTTTAATATTTAATTAGTTTTGCATTTCCTACTACTACCCGCTTTGCGCTTATTTCAACCAGTCTCTCTAAAATATTCCACTACATTTTTGACCGTAGAGCGATGAATGTTGTATTACTCTAGCAACAGATTCATAATTTCGCCCATATTCAACAAGAACAACGGATTTTGCACAATCTTCTATACTAAGTACCATATTTAATCGTTGGTATACCTACAAAATGTAATTTTCAATAATTACGACAATAGTCACCTAAGCCACCTCGTCATATTAGAGAATAACATCCAAATTTAATGATAATAATTGAGAAAAGTGCAAACTGTTGGTCGCAACTTAATTTCGCTCTTAAAAATTAACCAAAGCATGTGTTGACATTTTACCCTCAAGAATTCATTCGAATCACTAAAAGTACTTAGAAGAAAATTATAATAAATCGAAAGATTATTAAGACTTTAACACCCTGTAGCTACGAAACAAAGTAGAATCGGACTTATATTGATATTAAAAATAAATCTTATAAAAATATTGAAATTTGAACTTATAGCTTCTAACTTCTGCTTGAAACTTTTGTTTATTATTGTTACTGATTAAATGTGAGTTACTAATAATACTTTTATATATTGCTTAGCTCGAAGAAAACGATGAAATAGATGGTCCTCTTTCTATCTACGATTCAGAGTCGTCGGATGACGAACGACCCCAGCTTAACGCCGCTCTTGGACGAAATTTCCATTTAGAGGTCATTAGGAATTAAAAAGAGATGTCTTAGTATTAGTGTAAAATAATAATTTCTATACTTAAATACGCAACTTAGACGCATTACGCTCTAGTCAAACTCAAACTAGTAAAAAATGTGCTTAGGTTGACTTATAATAATATTAAGTTTAATCAGTGACATTGCTTTAATAAATACTTATATTTTATAAAGTCAGTAACAAACAAAATATTCTAACAAAAACCAGAACACCTAAATCCACGCATGTGACCCTATATAAAAGATTCACATTTTGTAAAACAAAAAATAGTAACATAACTGTTAAGGTCACGAATCACATTTCTTTCTTTTAAAATTATATTAAATAGTTATTATTTTAAAAGATAATATTTTGCCAAATAAACCTATTATGTTGATTTAATATTACACAATCGTACGTGAGAATTTAAAATTAACTTTTCCCAAAAATATCAAATCAACATTTGATAGATCTATCTACAGTATGTCCCCGGATTGTCTTTACAAGAGGAAAAACTTTTTATTATTGACATTTCGAGAAAAATGCATTCTTCATAAAAAAATTTTGCTTGTTCTAAATTGGTTAATCTCATTTATACTTACTATTTCCATACCGCTTTAGAGAAAAAAAAACATGAAAATATAGTTGAATTTTAGTTTGGTTTGAAGTCTTAAAAATCAAAAGGCGTTTCTATGATTTCATTCATTGATAGAATTTTAATTAACGTCATATATTACACTAAATGTTATAGAAGCACTAAATAAAAAAAAAATGTTAAAAAAGTTTATAACGGAAAGGGTAATAATATTTATCGAAAAATGTGATGTTTAGCAACAGTAAAAAATATGACGTTAATCAAAATCATATCAAAATTAATAAGAACCATCTATCAAAGAATGAAATCGAAATGATATTACTATAGAAACGCCTTTTGATTTTTAGGACTAAAAATTCAGCCAGATTTTCACTTTTTTTTTAATTTTCTCTAAAACGTATGGAGATTTGGAAAAGTATAAAGGGGATTAACCATTTTAGAACAAGCAAAATTTTTTATGAAGAATGCCTTTTCCTCTAATTGTCAATAATAAAATAGTTTTTCCTCTTGTAAAGACAATCTTTATGTGTATAAAAATAATTTCACACATCTCAACAAATGATAATTTTTAATAAAACTTTTATATATGATTTTGGTTTTTATATAACATTTTAAACAAAAAATATTTCTGTTATTACTAGCTTATATGATAATAAACACTAATGAATTAATAAGAATAGAAAAAATAAAAAGAATACAGAATGTACATTAAAAACGTAGCAATGTCACTGCATATATTATCTATTTTTGTATTTGTCCAAAAATGTGATACTACTCTTAGGAAAATGTTTCATATACTTTTTATATTATGAGTTGTCGTTTACATGTTGGTCAGTCTTGCTTCGTGTTTGAAAGTCGTGCGCTGGACATTACAAATCATTGTACCTTTTCTATTTATTGGATAAGAAAGACGATATTTATACAGATTTATTATTATAGCGTCCCGATTGTTCTTGTATGGGACTTGTAAAAAATTGTGATGATATAAAGAAAAGTATATATGATGATACATTATTCGTTTTAATCACATTGAGGATATTTTTAACATTACACCAAGTACAGATTTTTTTAATGTAAATTCAGATTTATATGAATTAAAATTTTGGTTTTAAACATATTTTGGGTTAAAATAAGATATAAAATATCGTGTTCAAAACACAGTCAATTTTGTTATAATCTATATTAGTTGTTTGTCAACAAACGTAAATACTGGAGCGTAAAGAATAAGTCACTAGAATAAGTGACTTACTCTCCTAAATATATAATATGAGCTTTTTTATTTAAACTTTAATCCCGATTTGATTACAAAATGTATGAACAAGTGTATAATGGTACTTCCCACATTTCTCTGGACTGACATCTTTACTAAGGTGTTTCTAGAACAACAATTATTCAGTATTTTTCTTTAACTTTATAAGGGTGCCCCAGGCTGAGCATGCATTAGCCACATGTCCTTTCTTTGGTGTCTTGGATCACGTGATTGATTCTAATTTTACTGGAGTTAAACACAGTGCAATACTAGATTTGTTTATTTCAACGCTCAGAGAAAGAATGGTTAATGAAAGAACGGTTTATGTTAGGTATAGAGTGTTTGATATCACAAATTCAACATTACTTACAGAGAATTTAAGTATGTAATAGAAAAGGGGGGTACTCATTTAAATTAAGAAAGTTGCTGTCAACTTCCGGTATTTTCGGAAGTGTCGCCATATTGAAAGCATTTTTAATTGATAGATCTCGTTGTGAAACAATGATGTGCAAAAAATCTCCGATCTAGATCTTGCTGTAGAAACTTCTAATGGGCACTCAGCCTGGTACATCCTGCATTCTAAAAATTAATAATAACTTTATTATTGTATATTTTGCAAATTAATAACGTGCTTTTATCATTTTCAAAATAATAAATTTAAAAAAAAATCTATCTTACGTTTGTTGACAAACTATAAGACATCTCTTAGGGTAGTCTTCCACATGGAAGTTATTTTTTAAAATAGGATCTCTTCCAAGTGGATGGACTTTAAACAAAGTTGTTGTTAAACCTAGAATTAGTGCATAAAATGTACCTTAGCGCTATGTACATAATGTAAATATATAGTATTTAATTTTTGGTTCTATCAGATACTGAATATTTAAATTTAGTGATATTATTTATAGAAAAAATACCTATTTTAGTATTTATTTTGATATTAACTGAAAAGCTTACTTAGCTTTTATTTAAATAGAGTAGTTTTGCTTTTATGTGTTAATGTATAATCTTAAAAATAAAGATTGTTGAAATTTTGTAATAAACCTCAAGTCAATGGCAAATAAATAAAACCTAAGTACCTATCTATATTCTATTCTATCAAAATCAATTACTTATATTTTATTAATTAAATTACTGCACAATTTTTTTTTATAATTAAGTATATTAAATACATTTTGTCGATGTCTCAATAATGTTTTTGTATTACTATTACACAGTGATAAAGAATTATGGTAAGAGATTATAATATTCTATATAGGTACGAGTCAAATTTTTAGTTTTTTTATTTTCTGTATCACTGCGATCCTTATACGAATATTATAATTTATATTAAATTTATAATTAGCAAAAGTAGGTACAACATGACCGAACAAAAATGCGTCAGGGATGGCTATGAAATGAAGATCCCTGTCATTTTATATGTAATATTATACGGGAAATGTCATCGATGTTCATTTCCAAGCCAACTAAACGTCGTTTTTTTTTCGATGATACGGTATGTTTATGTTGTTCAAACATTTAATATGAAAAAACTGGTAAATATTAAGTTTATTTAAAAATTAACAAAAACGTAAATGTATCATGAATCTGTGTAATCTTTATAGCGACTGGGTCCCAGATAAATAAATTTTATTTATGTATAGATTTTATTAGAGATGTACTTATATTCTTTAAATCTGTTTTCTTTTAATTTTTTTTTCTCTTTAAATCATTTTTTGAGGGATTTCGTTTTAACAAATTAAAAAAATAAAACATTGTTTTACAAAATAACTTATCTATTACAAAGCAATACTTTTTCCATTTAATTAATTTTTGTATTTATTATAGTTTAGTAGAAGCCATGTTTATCTGGGTACATTCCGTATAACAAACTCAGTTTTGAAATAAGCCGAAATAAAGATGTTAATTTTATACACACTACCGAAAAATATACCTCAATTATGTACTATAATTATAATATGTTTAAAAATGCTTATTTTTATTATTATATTTGTATTATTTAATTTGTAATTATTAACTATGATGCCCGTAGAGTCAAAACTAAACGAAATTGTTAAATATAAAACCCTTAAATATAAAAACTAGATTTGGTATTAAACTTTAACTTGACTAAAGAAATACTTTGAAGACAATACATTTAGAACGAATGAATCAATTAGACGAAAGAAATAGTAATTACGAGTATATATCATGTCACAAAAGAACAGAATATTAATGTTAGTAGCATTATTTGTCGAAAATTTGACCAAAAATCTACTAATATATTTTCTGTGCGACCAGTTTTTCGCCCAGCATTAAATAAAAATAAACATATATTAACGTTACTCATAACAATACTACAGCGTGATCTACGCTTCCTATTTTTTCTTCTAAAATTCTAACAGATTTTTGTTATCTACTTTATAATTCATATTTTTATTTTAACATTCCCTGTTGCAATAAGTATGAATTTACCTTTTATTTTTAATTTCAAATCGGTTAGTTTTTGAAAAAAATACAAGAGCTAAAAAAGTTAATAAACAAATCAAGCTATCCAATAGTAGTTACATAAGTTTTTATTTAAATATAGGCTTGGTGCATTTCAGTTGATTTCAAAAAATTCCGACCGCAGCGCTGTATACGGCAGAAATCAGAAATTTTCGCTATGTATTTCACGCCGCGCCGTCCCGGTTACAGTTCATGTTGATCGCATTAAAATAATATTGAAATCGTGGCTTTGTCTTAATATTTAAATATTTAATTTTTTGCTAGTGCAGATTTTGAAACTAAAAAACAGATTCGAGATTTGTCTGATGTAATGCTGTTTCGGGTAGTAAAAATTAAGTGAAAAAGAAGTTAAACTGGGTGTCGCGTTGTGGTTCTAACAATTTCAAATGTTAATAAAATTGCCCAAAAAAATGTTAACGCGTAAAGGAGGGGTAACGCGTTGAATGTTGGGGAACACATTCAATAACTCAACTTTCCCAAATATTCAACTCTCCTCAATCAACATTTTATAGCTTCACAGCTTCTCAAATCGATCTGATCAAAAGCAAAAATGGATTCAAGCACTTCGACAGAACAAGTGAGTAAATAAAGTGCCCATTACATAATCAAAAAATTAAATAGACATGTACTATGAGAGGATAAAATATAATTTTCAATATTAATGGTATACTCTGTTTTTAATCAACTAGTGCTTAAATTTTTTATGAATATCTTCTAAAATTATAATAATGTACCTTCAAAAAATTTCGTTATAGCCGAAATAGCCCAAGTTATGTCCCTACTAGCAAAACCGGTGCATAAAATTGTGCTGGCTACCGTCGTAGTTGAACTCATCTAAAAAGTTTTATTAGCTTTAATAATAAATTATAATACAAATTAGACTTTCTTAAGATATCAAAATATTTACTTTTTTTAGGATTTTCACAAATTATACTTCCTAATACTTTTAGAATAATTATATAAACTTTTTTTCGTATACTCGCTATTTAAACCTGCGTATTTGTATATGCCGATTGTTTACGATATTCTCCGATGGTGGCAGCACCGGCGCGGCGGAGAATGTACCATGCCTATAGTTAATTAGAATTAAAAGGGGTAACCTATTTCAACCTCATTTCCTTGTTTTAAAAAGATAAAAAAAATATGCAAATAATGTACTTTGATAGTAGTAATTCTTCACATTTCAGGCGTCTAAAAGCAAAACCCGACAAGTCACAAGAATGTAGAATGTAGAATGAGTAAGAGAGGGGTTAAACACTGCGACCTTAAAGATCTATTGTGCCCCCCTTCCTTGGGTCATCACACAGTCTATAACCCATCATATCTGTTGTAGAGGGGACAGGGTATTTCCCATCCTCCTCTGACAACAGTTCTTCCTCCGAGGGTACACACCCTTCCACGATTGAAGTTTGGCCCTCCGTGCCGCCCTTCGCAGTCGAGGAGCTTGCCTCCGGCTGAGGAACCTGTGAGGTGGAGGCTGGAGGATCTGTTTCCATTTTCTCCACCTCTTAACTTGGTCTCTCCTTAGACCTGATACCGGTGTTGTCCCGTATCTATAATAGAGGATATTATGTC